ATTATAACCACTAAATTTATGGGTTTTAGTTAGTTATTAAGAATTTTTTTGACCTTTCCAATCTACTTAAAAGAGTAGAAAATGATGTTATGATCGATCAACAACATTTAGGATAGACGATTAAAATACATATAGAACCTCTGACACCATATTAGCTCCGTAATTCTTCTGATGTTATGACCTATGTTGCTGTTTAGAGGAGAAAGTTTTCAAAATCGCGAGTTAGAATAGAAAAAAACTAATTTAAAACCGCAAAGGGTATTAGTTTTTTTTTTTTTTTTCACAATCTTACTTCATTAACTTAATTTTTCACATTACAAAATGAGGGAATTAGTTTAAAGTTCGGAAATTCTTGGTTTTTGTACATTTTGAAATTTATATACAACAAACTTGTGACAAAAGAAATACAGTACTACAACGAAACTCTTTTTGGTCAACACTTAAATTGCATATTACCGTACAATAGTTGAGATTGACTTTGAATATATTAATGAAGATTGACCTTGAAAAGGCTTAACACGTACAGTATTATGACTATTCACCAATGAAAGACACCATACCGGTTCAGAACACTTCCCGAATGGTTTTTTAATAAACATCTTCGTATAATGTCAATTCCTCAGATAGTTGAATAGTAAAATCATGATTTTCATGTTATTTTTTTATTCAACCATTTGACAAAACATTCTGAATTAAGAGTTTGGTCTTACCTCAAACTAGCCTCGTGCATAAACAGCAAACGAAGCTCCAATAATCATAAATTTCTCGTGATAGGAAGAAGTAATTTTTTTTTCTCTCTTAATAACGTAGATTCTAATGTTCCTTCCTTAGTTACAAATAAAATGAATAAAAATCTTCAAAAACGACAATAAACTAAAAAAAAAAAACATATGTATAATTTTACGTAAGAAAACAAAATATTCAAAATTAGTGACATGTTAAATTTGGAAAACTATACATCATGCACATGTATACACGCACGCACACACAAAATTACCGTTCAACGATCACACCTCAAGAGGGCTATAAAAAGAGGTTCCTTTGCTCTATTCCCATAATCAACACAAATCACTCTTCTTCTACACAAAACACAGAGACACATAGCAAAACAAAGTTTCGATATTTTCAATATTATCTTCTTCTTCCATTTCCGAAACCGCATTTTTGATAAAACTTGTTTCAATC